CAAAGTCTGAAAAGGTTTTTGAGCAACTTTAACGTTGTGGCTATTCAAAATTCTCTTGATGGGTTCAGTAACACCCTGTATGTAAGGAATAACAGCAAAACCAGTCGCTGGTTCCCTTTCATCAAGAGCGTTACTATTTGTAACTGGTTTTTGGCAGTTACGGAGAAAAGTTTTTGTATAGCCATTTGCCTTTAGGACATTGGAAACATATTTCCTCTCCTCAGCCTTCGAATCGAGTGATGATGGTAGACAATCAGCCCTCCTAAGTAAAGTTTTGGCTACAGACTTTTTGTGGCAAATAGGATGGTGAGAATCGAAAGCGAGGTATTTGTCGGTGTGGGTGGGTTTACGATAGACACTTGTCTCTAAATTACCCTGAACCCCTCTAGACACATTTAAATCAAGAAAGGGCAAATGTCTATCCTTTTCACGTTCAAGGGTGAATTGGATAGACGGCTCTACTGAATTCAAATGCGACAAGAGGCGCTCCGCTTCATTTCCGGATACCGCAGAAATAACATCATCGACATATCGTTTCCAGAAAAAGGGTTTAACCGGTGAAGTGGCTAAGGCCCTTTGTTCCACGTCTTCCATTACCATGTTAGCAATGACAGCAGAAACAGGCGAACCCATAGCTGTACCAAAAACTTGTTGATAGTATGTGCCGTTATATGTAAATTGCGTGGTTTTGAGGCAAAAAGACAGCAGATGAATAATATCCTCCACAGGCAAAGAAGTTCTTTGTCCTAGGGTAGCATCATCTCTGAGTCTTTCCTCCGCAACCTTAACGGCAAGATCAACTGGGATTTTAGTGAAGAGCGAAACAACGTCGAAAGATACTAATTCTTCACAAGCGTCAAGAGTTTTATCTCTTATGAAATCCGTAAATTCGCAGGAATTTTTGACAGTGTAATCAGTATTCCCAACAACAGGCGACAAAATTCTCGCAAGATAACCAGAAATTGCATAAGTCGGAGAATTAACAAAAGAGACAATGGGTCTCAAAGGAATTCCCGGTTTATGAATTTTAGGTAAGCCATAAAAACGTGGACATAAGCCGTCACTACTGTATAACATTTTGTACGTAGAGTCACTAATTCTGCCAGCTTTTTTCAAATCAAGCAACATTTTGTTTAACTTTCTTTGAGTTTTACTGGTTGGATCAGAGTTTAAGACAGCATACGTACTCTTGTCATTGAGCAGAGACAAAGCTTTGTCGTGATATTGCTGTTTGTCCATAACCACAACACAATTACCCTTGTCAGCAGATAATACGAGCCTGTCCGGATCCTTTTTGAGAGTTATAAGCGCATTGAAAACATCCTTTTGAATGTTTTTGGGAGGAGGTTTAGCACGCCTGAGTACGCCACTTACTTCTGCTCTTACCAAATGCCTACGATCGTCGTCGAGTTGAGAGATACTCTCCTCAACAGCGGCGACAATTTCGGCGGTCGGTATTTTGCGAGGAGCAATAGCAAACTTTAGACCCTTCTCTAAACCACTCCGTTCCAGCGCGGATAATTCCTTGGAGGAAAGGTTCATGACCCATTTATCTTTCAGAGATGAGCCTGAATTAACAGGAGACCTCTTACTGAGCAAGTGACGGAGTTTTCTGTCATGTTTCTCTCTCTGTTTGGTAAACGTCTGCAGTTCTTTCGAAATGCAAAACTCCTCGACCCAGGAAGTTTCGGAGTTGTTAATCAAAGCAGAGAGTTCACTGAGTGAACGAGAGAATAACGTACGTAACCGCAGTATGGAACTGTGACATTCATCTATTCGTAGCTTGAGAAAAGAAAAACCAGTACGGACCATGAGCTTGTATCCTTTAGCACTCCGTAAAGGAGGCCGAAATCTCAAACTCGATGGAAGCACATGGTTCTCTTTGCAACGGTGATTGAAATACAAATGACAGCGATACTTAGCAATGCGGACTCTGATGTTAGTGAGCCGGTTGACCCTTGTAACAACAGTTTGACCATACTTTTCTCGCAAATAAAATATATTAAAGTTCACACGGCAACCAGGTGGACAATCAGACATAGTTTGAAGCTACACTGGTTTGCAGATTTAATGAATGTAACCGAAGAAGTTACAGTTCATAGACCCAACGTTTCGACACTCCTGTCTAGTGTCTAAACCCACCACCTGTCTCTAAACCCACCCACACCGACAAATACCTCGCTTTCGATTCTCACCATCCTATTTGCCACAAAAAGTCTGTAGCCAAAACTTTACTTAGGAGGGCTGATTGTCTACCATCATCACTCGATTCGAAGGCTGAGGAGAGGAAATATGTTTCCAATGTCCTAAAGGCAAATGGCTATACAAAAACTTTTCTCCGTAACTGCCAAAAACCAGTTACAAATAGTAACGCTCTTGATGAAAGGGAACCAGCGACTGGTTTTGCTGTTATTCCTTACATACAGGGTGTTACTGAACCCATCAAGAGAATTTTGAATAGCCACAACGTTAAAGTTGCTCAAAAACCTTTTCAGACTTTGGGGCATATTTTCGCCAAACCTAAGGATCCTGTCACGAAAGAACAACGAACCGACGCCATTTATTCTATTCCTTGCAATGACTGTGATAACGAATACATCGGACAGACCAAACGCCAGTTTGGTACACGGTTAAAAGAGCACCAAAAAGCGGTTTTTCTTTGCAAAAAGGAAAATTCAGCTTTATCGGAGCATACTTGCCTAACCAACCATACAATTGGGTGGGATTATTCTAAAATTATCACTACTAATCGGCGTTACCACCAGCGCCTTTGTTTGGAGGCTTGGCACATTAACTCCGCCCACGCTCCTTTAAATCGTGACGATGGCGGTCTGCTTCCTGACGCCTATTTACACCTCGTCAGAAAAAAAGGCCGCTAATTAGTGATCGTATAAAAGGACCTCTTGTTGCAGCGTTTAGATCACCCCTGATGAAGGCACTAGACAGGAGTGTCGAAACGTTGGGTCTATGAACTGTAACTTCTTCGGTTACATTCATTAAATCTGCAAACCAGTGTAGCTTCAAACTATGTCTCAAGTATTTAGATCTTTTTTTGTCTTTTTCTATGCTTCCCTCACTCCTAAAGAGGATTTATACAGATATGAGAATCGTACCGCGTTTACATTGTACAGGTACAAAAGGTCGTCCAGAATGAGTGTTTCGTTCTGGAATGAAAACCTCAATAAACTCATTCAGAAATGATTCGTTTCGAATAAACTTTATTCTGGTATCATGTGGCAACCGGGATGAACTCGTTCTTAAACAAAACTCATTCGGATATTATGTAAAAGGCCCCTAAAAGTTTTTATTCCCAGAGCATCACGCTTTGTTCTCCTGTCAGAATACTATAAATTTCAATAGCGTTGAAGCAACAACCCGCTTTCAACTGCTTTGCTGCCAATGAAACTACGATTAGTGACCACAAAAAGTACATATTCTAATATTGTCAATTCGACATAAGCAAAAATCTTCATACAGGGTAAAAATTCGTTTGCGTTGGTATCAATTATGGCGTGACTAGCTTATGATATAAATGGGGTGGCAAAAAGTAATAGCCAGGCGTAATATAATAATCGAAACAGCTTACAAAATCATAAATAAATAAGGTAAGAATGTATATGTTAGATTTTTTTCACAACTTTTAGTGATTTATAATGGTAAACGTCGCTAGCAAGTAAATTTTGCCGGACTTTGAGTTCGTCTCACGACAGAACAACACAAATACACAAAGACATTTTTACAGTAACTTCATAACCATCCTTTTTTCTTTTAAAAGCTAGAAGTGCAGTAGATTCTGTCATCTCGGTCATTGTTAAAAGTGTCTTTCTTTTCATGCTACTTTTCGACAAAGAAAAAGTATGTCGGACAAAAATATTCCACAAAAAATAAATATTTCCTTGCCAGCTTCAATAATAACAGGAGATTAGGTTAGATAATAAAACAAAGGACTATGTTGACAGAAATACTCGAGGTCGAGTAAATTCGTTACATGAGGTCACACAACTCGGGCAATATTCACGCTGAAATTTACAGATTTGAGTGGTCGAACGAAAAAAAAACCATTTCTCGAAAACTAAAACATATTTTCACAAAGAAACTACACCACAATTATATGGACATATTGGGCTACAAAATATGAAAGTCGGAGAGAAAATGAATTTTGGGCGACTTGCCAAGATACTTCAAATGTGTTCGATGGATGCTGACATCCTCCCCTAAACAGCTTTTTTAACAGATTGTAAAAGTCTACTTAAAAGAATCTATGCAATAAGTACCACGGTTGGTTTTGATTTCCGTATAAGCTTCAAAATTTCAACCAGACAAGACAAGAAACAAAATTGCTCATGCGCAACCAGCCTTCAAATCGTAAACAGGAACACGAAAGTAAAACCACTGTGTTACGTATTGTGACCCTGACAAATAGTAATCCGATGACATTGCGTGTTTTATAATAACGTTGATAACTGCAAGGGTCGCATTTGTGCACTGATCCATTAAGTGTAAGCAGAACTGTTTAGTCCGAGGTAGGTAAAGAAATTATAAACTGGGAAAGCAAAGAACATCAGCTTTCCCTCGATCCTTAAGGAAATATTTTAGGAAATTTTCGAATCGGCAGGAGTGGGTTCTGGGGAGAGGGGTAGGGGGGTTTACTTGCACACCATTCCACATTCCCTCTATAAATACCAGGCAGACAAAAGACAACATAAAGAAAATACTCAATTTTGCGATTTTCTAACTGCAGTCGTGTCTGGTGAGATATTTCAAGTAACTGGAGTAAGCCCTTGGGCAGAGGTCAATCATATTACCATGTCTTCTTCTAGAATGTTCTGATCCAATTTTTCTTTAGAACTGCATTGAAACAATTCTTGGAGCAAATAAGGAAAAAGTTCTAAATAAAGAGTCTTTCACCAGTGGAAAAACTTTCAAACGAACAATTCAGTTTAAAATTCACAATCTTCAGCAATAAAACATAACTTATAATTTCATCATCAAAATGCACAGCAAGCTAAGAACGCATCAGGTTACAAACTTAATGGAAAATGTTTATGGAGAACAGTGAATTCGAAGAGATCTCTAATCGACTGTGGAGTTGTTTTTGTCAGTTTGTTTCTACGGTGTTCTCTTAGACAACATACATTTGCAAAACCTCCCCAACGTAAAAACATACGCAATGACTATATCGACAAGAAAGTTCGTGATGCTTTATCAATCTCGAAATTTAAGACTAGTACAGTGTTTGTTGCTGTTGTCCAAAAACATGTAGATTTTTAGTTTCAATTTCAAAAATAACAATTCCTGGCCCGCTACATTGTATACAACTAAATTATGCTATAACACAAGATACTCACCAGCGAAGCTAATTTTTTGTGCCTTGAGGAACAACTTAGGCTGATGCAGAGCTGTTTAGTCCGGGATAGATAAAAAAAATTACAAAGTTTAAGAAATTCTCGAATCAGCAGTAGTGGGTAGGGGGGTCTACTTGCACACCATTCCACATTCCCTCTCTGAATACAAAGCACACAAAAGACAACATCAAGAAAATACTCAATTTGGCGATTTTCTAACTGCAGTCGTGTCTGGTGTGATATTTCAAGTAACTAGAGTAAGCCCTTGGGCAGAGGTCAATCATATTCCCATGTCTTCTTCTAGAATGTTCTGATCAAATTTTTTTTTTTTTAACCGCATTAAAACAATTCTTGGAGTAAACAAGGAGATAGTTCTAAATTGAGAGTTTTTTACCGGAGGAAAAACTTTCGAACAAATATTAATCCAGTTTAAAGTTAACAATCTTCAGCTATGAAACATACCTTAAACTTTTTTCAGCACGCTAAGAGCGTATGACGTTACAAAATTAGAGGAAAATGTTTATGGACAACGGTGAATTCGAAATATTTAATCTCTAATCGACTGGGGAGTTGTTTTTATCTGTTTGTTTCTCTAAGACAACATAAATTCGCAAAACTTCCCCAACATCAAAACATACGCAATGACTAAATCGACAGAGAAAGAAAGATCCAGATCCGCTATCAATCTCGAGATCGAACTTGCTGTTGTCCTAAGGCAAGCAAATGTTTAGTTTCAGTTTCAAATAGCAAGTCATGGCCCGCTACAGAAACTATAAAATTACATTACAAGACAATGTACTTACCAGCGAGGCTAATTTCCGTGCCTTGAGGAACAACTGATAAATGCTATCGTTTTTCTTTCGATCTTTTCACTGCCGCTGTGGATCGTGATAGTCGAGCTTGCACGAAGAAGACTCCGCGCCGTTTTCTTCCAATCGAAACGTCCCGATCTACGTACATCGGAGGTGAAAACAAAGCGCAATATAAAAGATTATACTTTAACTAATATTGTATTTGACGACGATGAATAACCACAATCTTTTCACTCGAGATAAGATTTGTCATTCAGCAAATCAACAATCGTAATAATTCCGTCTAGTTAAGAGAAACCATAGTTCTGCAAATGAATGAATTCCTAATTTGCATATCCAAAACGAAATCAACTTAGCAAAATGAAACAGGGTTAAACTCGTTTATAGAGCCGTTAAGCTTTGCAGTTTAAGCATACGAGCAAGAATTTTTAACAACACCCTAAATGGATCTTACACCGAGCTTTGCTCTCGTTGTCGGAATTTTCTTCTCGAATCTTGATTACAAATGATCTATACTTACTTCGTTGAGGATTTCAGGAATTATCAAAGGAACAAGTCGACGTTTTCAGCCAACAAAATGACAAAATACTGCTCGGAAGCAACCACGCTCAAAAGTGAAACCAACTTGCAGAGCGCAGCATATCTGATGACATCTCACGTGTTGACTTTCACAACTAAACGTCAGCAGCAGACAGATTCGCGCCTGATCTCATTAGAAAAGAATCCAGGTCATTCAAACAGCAGATGACTAAATTGTAGGTAGGGGTAGGGTTAG